TTGCTTTGAAAACTCATGTTCAGACAAGTATTTTACTCAAGTTCTTGAAGACGCCAAAGCCTTAGCTTCTGAAATTGATTGCGAGGTGTTAGACTTTGAAAATGTGGCTAGACCTGGTGCACGATCCAAGAAAAAGCATTTAACTTATGAGTGTGTTGAACCAATCATTGAGCACCGTCAAAAATATAAAATTGAAGTATTTTTTCACATTATAGATACAGCCATAAATTCTTTATAATTAAGATTTTCCCTGATATTGACCATAATAAACAATTAAACAGTTTGGTCCTTATCTTTTTAACTTCTGAAACGATTTTGATGAAAAATGTTTATTGTTCCTTTAGTTAAAGGGCAACGCTAGTAATACATAGGCTTTTCTGTAGTTTCCAATTGAATGGGATAAACCTTAGGTGAGAGAGAGAAAAACTACCGACCTTCTAAACATATTGTAATATAAACATGCCAAAATAAGAAAAACCAATATACTGTGACGAACACGGATGATAGAACAAAATCGAATCAACGATAAACTGCCAGAAGCAACTAGTTAGCGAATTCGTAGTTGCCAAAATGTTCTAGAAGCAATGTTTTGTTATAGATTTACTATATAAGGGCTGCCAGATTGTGCAGCAAACACAGTTCTAGTTAGAGTGTTGTCGTGTTAAGAGCAATCAAGCTATAAGCAAGAAGTTGTAAGCTCGAATAACGAGCAATAAGTGTTAAGTTGTTGGAATTAGAAATAAAGATAAGTGTGTATCCATTAAATTGGGACTTTTATTTAACAACCCAGTGATAGAACTCAAGAGTGAGTTACAGGTAGACGATTTATCGAGAAATCCGTTACAATACAATTTACTACTTAAGAAGAATAAAAAAAGTGTAATTTCACTAAAAAGAGGGATAAAGGGACACTTATTCCAGTGTGAGAGCGCTTCAAAATTAGCGTCTTTTATAACATTTTGCATTGTAGCCAGATCAGTCAAAATAAAAATTGTTGGACATTTAAACTAAAACACCCAACATTTATTAAGATTAAAATTATTATATATATATCCGATTAACACATGGAGGAACTATTCAAATCCTTTTTTGTGATTTTGTGATATTTTAAAACAACTGGTTTTTGAACTTTCGATAGTTGAGAGAGTTGAGCATCCCTTCATCTCTGCTAAAAATTTGGCTTTTAGAGAGGTGAGTTCTTCTTTTTATAAATATGTTGTAAAACTAATTTTATTTATATTGTAAGAATAATTTGTTTAACTTTATACATAGAAAAACGCGACACAAAACCGATCAGTAAGGTACGCATTGTGGTATGTGTTTTGCTTTTATAACCAAAACTTTTAGTGTTACAGAAAATTTGCAGCATTGCGGAAAAATTGCATTCCTAGAATA